AGGAAAAATAAAAGCTACATGAATATCAAAGGATATACTTGAAATAAATAAAGGAAAATATCATTTATCCAGTGTATGTTTAAGAGGTAAGACTCTTCCTTACAAGATGTTCTTAAAGCAGATAGACTAAAAAACCAAAAAGGAATAAAATATTTACTGAGCAATGGATACAGTTACATTGGGGTTTATGTTCATTTGTTTACAAATTGTGGATATTATCTTTCTCATTATTCAGAATGCAGATCAATCACCTGCTAGAGATTGGACACATTCACCTGTCACAGTTGCAGGAGCACACTTTACTCATGTCAGTGTGATCTCTCGGGGTAAACTGGATGGCAGGTTTTAGGGAGAAGGAAGGAGGACTGGGGCAGAGTCTCTAGACTAAAGGACTTGACACATAAAGAGCATCCTACCAAGACTGTGCATGCAAAAAGGAAAGCTGCACAAATAGGAAACAAACTAGTATTTCTGAATGGAGAATCATATCAAGACCCAGTGTAACAAAGATCAGTTGATGCATGGTTTCCTAAGTAAATGTTCACATTACAACCTCTCTGTGTTTTTACACATCGTCACATACAAAAAGTGAGAAAGGAATTATTCAAAGTATCTGCTGGGCACAGCACATAGAATAAATTGAATGAACACCATTCCATTTTCTCACATGTAGGAGGGGTTTAGAAACCAGAAACTAAAAAGTCACTTGCCAGTCTTAAAATAACTGTAATTTCTGTGACCCAGCCTTGAATTCCAGTGCGGGAAGAGTACACCTGAATCACACTAGACTGCAGAGTGGTGTGCTCTGCGTTTCCAAGGCAATGGATTCCACATTACCTGATCTGTGCACCAGTACCACAAAGCAATGATGCTCAAACCAAAGATCAGCCCTGGCCATGGCAAATCTCCAGTGACGGCATCTCGGAAGATGTGAAAGGAATCCTCCCGAGGAGTGTAGCATTTTTCTTCAATCGTAATATTCCCATAGGAGATGTTGGATGGAATTGCTTCCATGTACTTCCGCATGAAAGCATCGTACCCTCCTACTTCAGCAAATGCTGAAAAATAGAAAGTAAAAGTAGGGATAAAGTATTTAATACTGAAATCTCACATACAGCTAGAGAATGTGAGGAGAAATATGGTTGTAAAAAAACCCTAGCCAGTACACATCAACATTTTCAGGAAACACTAGGCAGTGTTTTGTAAGTATTCACACAATCTAAGTGTCAAAGTGACCTTTTAGCTCACAAACACTGGTTTAGGCTCCATCCTCTCGACATCTCTTATACGTATCTTGCCATGAAACGAAATGAAGATACATTATTTCCACACACTATTAACCTAGGGAGAACCTAAGGCAGGGTCTTACCAGATTAGGTCAGTCTGGATTTATCTCTGTTGTAACAATGGTGGAATAAACTTCAGCGAAAGACCTAGCTAGAGGAAATCAAAGCACCCAGTAACTAGAAGGATAAGGAAAGGACTCTTCCTATTAATTCTGTTTAACAGCATGATTTCTGTTTTAAAATGCATATGGTCTTCTGGACAAACACATTGTCCTATTCATAAACATTCAGCTTGTATCTTTTGTCCAGCTGGCAATATGACATCCACAGACAAACTGTAACGCTCACTTAAAATATTAATAAGTTTGGGTTGTTTTAACACAAGCTAGCAGCTAGAAACAAAAAACATGCAATGTGACCAACAGCTCTTCACTTTGAACCAGAAATTTTCATCCATTAGCATCTGAATATCTATGAAATTATAGTTTCTTAAAACAAAATACTCTCTGAACTTCTCAAGAGTATCACCATCACCTGCAAACAACTCTGCTTTTACCCTATTAGCCGTCACAAATCCCGTTCTGTCACAAAATGCTCTATATTACCCTACACATCCACCTCTGCTTTGGAGATGGAGCGGTCTCAATGACTAAAGGGCCTGGCAACACACCTATTTTCTCCCCTGATAAAAAGGTACTGAACTGAAAATCTGAAACTGAAAATATGAACTGAAATCTGCTGCTTAAGATAACAGAGTTCCACACTTCAGGATCCATTTCCATAGACACTGTGGGATTTGTGGTTGAACATTCCAGTTTAATTCCTCTGATTTACTTACCAAATCCCATGAGGATAAAGGATCCCACTACCATGATAAATGTTTGCAAGGTGTCTGTGTAAATCACAGCTGCAAGGCCACCTAATGGCAAAGAAAAGTCAAGATAAATAGGTTAGTCCCTGTGCACTTGCCTCAGTGGAAATCCTTTTTGGTTGGTTTTGGTTTTGTTTTTGTTTTTTTTCATTTTTCTCACCACCTCTTTCTTCCAAACAAAGACCACTGTAAATCACTCACTTTTCAGGTGTTCATTTCTCCCCTCTTACCCACCTCCCCTCTTCTGTTTTCTGGCTCCCCTAACTTCTTTGATTTATCAAACTGCTCTGCAAACTCACCTGTGATGGTGTAAAGAGCAGTAATAGCAAGCAGGATAATTATGGCCAAATAAAGATTCAGCCCTATGGCCAGCTGTATAAATACAGCTCCAGAGAATATATCTGCCTGTAAAAGAAAAAATGATAGATCAAGCAATGTTTAAGTTCATGATGATGGCATATTACACATTCATGATGAGGGTACTGAAGTACACAACTCCAGCCCTTTCAGTACTGCACAAACATGTAAACAAACAAACAAACAAACAAATGCCATTTTAGTACAACTGCCAGTCTCCTTTCAGTGCTCTGGTGCTTTCAGTACCAGAGCTGTAAAACTTCTCAAAAAATTTCCAGGTCTTTTTCAATGGATCATCTTAGTTAGGCAGAGTGACCTGACTACTCTGTGCTTGCACGCTAATAACAAATTACTTAAAACTCAGGTTAGACTTGCTGCTATGTGCAGGGATGGACTCTGTGACACCTGCAAGACGTGGCATGGCTCTCTTCAGTTAACACGGCTCTATCAGTCTCTTACTTTTCTTTACCTCTTGCATACATAGAATCATAGGATGGTTTGGGTTGGAATAGACCTTAAAAATCATCTGGCCCAACCCCTGCCATGGGCAGGGACACCTCCCACCAAACCCAGGCCGCTCAAAGCCCTGTCCAACCTGCCCTTGAACACTGCCAGGGAGGGGGCATCCACAGCTTCTCTGGACAACCTGTGCCAGTGTCTCACCACCCTCACGGTAAAGAATTTCCTCCTAATATCCACCCTAAATCTACCCTCTTCCAGTTTAAATCCATTACTTCTCATCCTATCACTGCACTCCCTGATAAAGAGTCTCTCCCCATCTTTTCTGTGTGCCCTCCTTTAAGCACTGGAAGGCCGCTATAAGCTCTCCCCAGAGCCTTGTCTTCTCCAGGCTGCACAACCCCAACTTTCTCAGCCTTTCCTCACAGGGGAGGTGCTCCAGTCCCCTGATCATCTTTATGGCCTCCTTTGGACCCGCTTCAACAGCTCCATGTCCTTCTTATGCTGGGGTCCCCAGAGCTGGATGCAGTGCTCCAGGTGAGGTCTCATGAGAGCAGAGGGGCAGAATCACCTCCCTCAACTTGCTGGCTGCTCTTCTTTTGATGCAGCCCAGGACATGGGGGGCTTTCTGGGCTGCAAGCACACGTTGCTGGCTCATGTTGAGCTTCTCATCAATCAACAACCCCAAGAGCTTCTCCTGAGGGCTGCTCTCAATCCATTTTCCGCCCAGCCTGTATTTGTGCTTGGGATCGCCCTGTACCATGTGCAGGACCTTCCACCTAGTCTTGTTGAACTTCATGAGCTTCGCACAGGAACTACTACATGTGGTATAGCTAGTCTTGCTGGTTCAGGACAAAGAAGGATTAAAGGCAAACATCTTAAATTATCTCTATTTTTACATTCCTGTCAGAATAATTGACATCAGTTGGCTAACAGAAGACACCTTTAGCTCTTGCGTAAGAAAGGAATTGTCCGGGTTTCAAAGTAACACTGGGATATTAATCACATTAAATCAGTTCCTTATTTAGAGATAATTTGCATCAATGTTATTTATCCAAGTTGTAATTAGAATAACCTACCCCAGTGCACTTGTAATGTATTACTGTAAATTATGCTTTCATTAGAGGTTTGCATCTCTACTTATCTTTGCTCCTGAGCATCCAGTTCACGGGCTTGTCTCCAATCCCACATGCACGCCTCCTTTCTTATACCACACCACTAGCACAAGGGCTCTATAAAGGGAGTCCTATCCTCATTTAACAATACAAGTTGTAGTGGTGTGCAGCAAGCTCAGGAGCTGCAGAATGCTGCAGGAATTGCCCATATGCAGCGTCTGAGAAACAAAGTTCACATTATATGTGCCCTGGGGTAAAGCCTGCACACACAGTTACTGCAGGGCAGCTGCTAGGTGGCAACTTGCTGGAGGAGTGGGAGGTTCCACAGGCCAGGCTGTGGGACAACCAGAGCCTGTGATCACAGAACAGGCACTTGCACCACTTTTGGTCACAGCTAGGCTGAGGTAAGGCAGGGCAGGTTTACTAATAAGCAGTTAAGCAGTTTGGTTAGCTGGGAAATGCTGGATGAAGAAATCCTCTTTGTTCCAGAGACACTGAAACCGAGACTGCAGGGTATGATCTCACCCTTAGTTCACTCTGAAGAATGAGGAAGAGGTACAGACCTCTGCAGCAAGGGATCCTGCAACCCTACTGCCCTGATGTGCAGAAAACAACTGTGAAGCAGAGTGTGAATTACAACAGAGGTCCCACTACCAAAACTCTGCCTCTGGAACAGCTTATTTGATTTCTTAGTTCAGAACTGGGAACTAGGATGTTAAGCTCTTAACTTCAGTGGCTTTGTCCCTTCTCTCTATGGGAATATTTTTTTCCTATATTTTCATATAACTGACTAGCTTATATCCCAGAACTTTTATTTATTGTTCTTGGCTGTAGTTTAGCCTACATAGCATTAAATATTAATGGTCCTAAAATGACGCTCAGAAAGAAATGTATAGTTAATTATTTAGCATCTTGGGCAATATATCAGCTTCTTCAAACTGCTGAGTTACCTTCCAACTTCACTTCTTCTCCCTCCCAATTAGATTACTTCCTTTCAATATTTCCTTGTTTCTCCATTAATACTCTTTTATGGACACTATTTACTCTTTTATGGACACTTATCTTATCTCTGAATAGAGTAAATCTTTCCTTTACATTACAACCTATCTCTCCACAGAACATGCAGGGACAACTGGCAGAACACATTGCAATTGAGTCCAGCTGCAATGTTAATGTGAGAGGCTGGGCAGTGGCACGCACTCTTTACCCCACACACCATGCAGAGGCGTTTATCCTTCTGCCTCTTCTTCCCCCTGGTAAGTCTATGCCTATACATTTACTGCTGAAACTATGCACAATGAATGTAAAGAAAATGCTATAATACATCTAGAAATCCAGTTCACAATTTCTGATTTCCTCAAAATTCCCTTTTTTCTTGTCATAATTTAGTCAATTACTCCCCATCAAGATTTTATTTTTACTAGGCCATTTTCTTTGGCATAATGACCAATATCAGCAACACTAGTAGCTAGCAAGCCCCTGAAAGCTGCTATGAGCATTACTCACAAAGTACTGTACGCTTAGGAAGCATGCACATGTGAGGCACCTCTGCAACAGAAACCCTTTAGGCTTAAAGATCACGTGTGTCCTGATCCTAAAAATCCACACGTTAGAGCATGGCCTTGCCTAGCAAGTGACTGATTAGCCATGGAACAAGGTGAGCAATCAATAAAAAATACACAGAAAATGTGCAGGAAAAGAGAGAAATAGTAACGACCTCATACAGAGGTGTGCAGTGGGAATCTGATCATCGCACGGTGGTGGGCACTGTGCCTGAAGTTACAGGACTTGACGTATTACATTGTTCATTGGAAAGCACTGTAATAATTATATTATTAAGAACATTAGATAATACTTTAACACACGAAGGAAGCAGCATATGAAATAACTACCCAAGAAACGAGATGCCACTCTTCTACAAAGATAAGCAGCAGTTAAGTATTGCTGCCAGTCAAACTGATAGGTGTGACTGCCTGTTAAGGGCAGGGCATAAACCTATCCTTCTATATCAAATCTCAGCAAGCCCCAAAGATCACAAGGGAGTGTTTGCAAAGGCAGTAAAGGAAGTTAAATGCAAATCTCCAAGCTGGCCATGGCATGGATCATCAACACATGGGCATGTTTGGATATACAACGTGCCTCTGGAAAGAGAGACCTGTGCTATCTTCACATGGCATGGATAGCTCTACACAGCACAAAGAAGCTACCTATGGTACAGGATGGAACAGTCCTTTCCTTTCTGCTGCTGGACCTGGTTCATCTGGAGACAATTTGGGTGCGATGTTGCATAGCATGGTATAGAAAAAGCTACCCTGACATCCTCTGACAGTACCTGAAACCTCCAAGGACTTCGACTGTTCTGCCTGTTCTGAATAAAATACGGCCACTTTATCAGATCTGGGCAAATCCTGCCCTGCTGAATATAGTGACATAAGGAACAATGCAGAAAGAAGGTTTGTAAACCACAGACATCTGAGCTACATGTCTACATAGGATAGATATGGGAAGATAGTCGGAGTTGTTCTGGGCAGATTGAGGGAACAAGAGAAATGGTTAGAACTTGTGCACCAAATTTCTCCCCTGCATGGCACAGAGACCCAGCTCCATGCCAGTTCTCCACACACATCTGGAATAATTGGGTTGATGGAAAGCTGGGATGGGCCACTGGCAGAGTGGGACCCAGGTAATCTGCTGCGCTATGGATCTCTTGGCTATTACTTTGCTCTCTAATAAGACAGGACCACAAGAGCAGGAGAGGGTGCTTGAGCCTCATGACAACACTGGAAGATTAAATGGAGAACCTGTCTTGCCTGGAAGCAAAACACTCCACTGAAACAGGGTGAAATCCCATGATCAGAACCTTAGGGATGATAGAGGCTGGAAATAAAAGATAGATAGTAAATTCAGAACCTATGTAACACCTTGATGGGCTCATTACAAACACGTATTGCAGAATAAGACTGAGAGTCATCTGACTGGAAGAGTTTCTCAGCTGCTAGAGCTGCCAGAACTCTGCGTCATACCTGGGAGTTCTGATTAGGGCAGTTAAGCACAACAGCAAATTAACTAATCCTTCTGAAATATACGGAAACCCAACTCTGAGGCCAGCTCCGCAGTACCAACCTGTTTAATTTATAACCTTTCTAAGGATCAGTAATCATGAAGATGTGAGAATGAGAGCAAAAGGCCAATCTTTTAGCTTAAATTGCACTATTATCACTCAGCTCCCATTCAGAGGGCAAAGAGTAGCTTGCCATGGCAACGTCTGCAAAACAACAGATTGAGGTATGCCTGAACTGTGGACTTCTTTAGAGGTTTGGTAGTTCCAAGATACATGCAAAATACGAGCTCCCTTCACTATTTCACAGCAACATGACCACTTACTTAATAAACATTAACTTCATAGCACCTTAAACCTTACACCAACCACTTGCTCATTAAAAGAATTTCTCCCCCTCCCTCCTTTCACCTCAGCTGTTTTTATTCCCCTCCTTTGCATTTTCCCACTCCTTTATTTTCTAATTCTTCTTATTCTTTTTTTCTCCATAGCCCTGTGCTCTTTTCCCTCATCTATATTACTGATGGTATATTCTCCAGAGAATGCTAAAACAGATAAATATGAAGTTTAGGGACAAAATTTCCTGCCACATGTTTTGCAGATCCCTAGGATAACAGACTGCAACATAGTGCAAGTTTGCCACCACTCTAACTTGTTCTAGAGGAGAGCATAAGTAGAAGTAAACATTCAAACCTAAAAAATAAAAAGAAAGCACAACAAGCATCAAGAGACATTGCCAGGAAGGAAAAAACTTGGATTGCAGAACAGATCTGGATACACAGTCTCACCAAACAGAATAAAGAAAACACAAAATCACGTTTTAACCATCCTTAATTCGACCAAGGTTTCCAAACCAGAAACAACCGACTAATTGTGTAAGCAATAATGTAAACAGGAGTTTCTTTTCTTTAGCTCAATGTAAGATGGAAGAAATGCTGCAGAAGTTCTACTTACTGAGATCTTTGTGAAAATATACAGGATCAGAGAAAGGACTGACAGATAGATCTGAATCCGCTTCCCACCAAAACGCTTCTTCAGATACTCTGGCATTGTCACCACCTGCAGGGAGAGTAGATAACGTTTCAGATTATGGGGAACAGATACAAAGTAAATTAGAGGAAATTAGGTTTTTTTGCTGCTCAGATACTGTAGGAGTGGAAGGCAAAGGGTGGGGAGCTACAAATGCAGTTGCAAGGATGAGCAGCTCCAGGAATCAAAGGAGATCAGGGACAGAGTACCAATTACTTCCCAGATCAGGTCTCTGAACAGACAATCCTCACTTTTCAAATACATACAGACAAAACATGACGCAGTATATGCTCAGATCTTGTGACATTCATAATGGCTTTGCAATATTCAAGACTTGATACAAAAGCATGAGCAACAAAGAAAACCATAACGTACTCTTTTGACTTACCCCAGCTTTGACGTAGATGGGTACAAACAGCCATCCTAGAACAGCCACAAATATCAGAGCCTGCAGTCAAGATAAGATCAGCTGAATTAGTCTCCTCTCTCTAGATAGCACTCCCAAAGACCATTTATCAGATCCAATAGCAGCTACAGACCATTGAAACCACATAAACCTGCTGTCATACTAGTACAAATCAGAAATAATTTCAGTGGAATAGTAGTGATACACAAGCATGCTAACAGTCAAACTTAGCATGATTTTCAAGAGGAAAATACAGTCAAGAGCAATATTTCCACCATGTCTATTCACCTGTACACCAGTCCACTATGTGGTAAGTAATGTAGCGTATCTGCTCAAATACACACATGCATCATTGCTTCTTCCTAAACAACAATTGTTGTGCACTGTGCATTGATATTAGTCCACAGAGAAACTCCCGGGAGACGAAGTGTTAGAGGTGGATATGTTTGAAGGAGGATATGAGTCCTAGAGATTTGAATACCATGAAACTTCAAGCAATGCTTGTTCTGTTTTATTCTGCTTAGTTTTGGTAGAAAGAGAAGGGGAATTGGGTTTGTTACAGGACTAGTGTAAGCAAATAGAGAAAAATTACATTAACTGTGCACATATCAGAGTTCATTTTAGCCTTTATCCTCCTCCTTAAGTACTTATATCATATGAGAACTTGACTATTTGTAGCAACCATCTACTTGCTAAGGAAAAAAGCCACATTCCTCAGGGTTGTATGTTTCTTTCACTGCACAGAATTAAATGCAAGAAAAGCATTGACCTACGTACGCTCATTAAGTCCTCTGTGTCATGGAATAAGCCCTTCTATGAAGGTGAATTGAGCAGAACAAGGGCATTATTATCCACACCCACAGAGCCTGAGAAGACAAGGAAATGGACTGACTGAATTAGCTCATGCAAATCTCTGTGCTGGTATAGTTAATAATGTTCCTGGTATGCCAAGTAGTTCATTTAAAGTCAGTTTGGATTTCTCTACCTTATAGTGCAACCATAAGCAAAACACACATAATTAGAGAAAAGAGAAAATAAAGAGGAAGAGAATTTTGGAATGCAGGTAGTTGTGAAGAATATCCAAAATTTGTTATAGCCTGTGGAGAAATCAAAACCCCTTCAACAACTCCTACATAGCAAAATGCTGTAAAAAATACTATAGATGACAACACTGATAAATTCTTCCCAACAGTCTGAAAGTGTTGTTTATAAATACTTTAAAAGTAATCAAAAGATATGTATAGAGAAGAGAATCCATCAATTTATTTCATTCAAATGCTCTCTAAAAAGCATTATTCAACAGAAAAGTGTCATCTTTTCCCAGTGGCTTGGACAAGGACCAAGGAGGATAGGCCAAACAGTAGATTACACTGGAACTTACTGGTCCATGCAGAAAACAAGCATTGCCAAGAACAGACTTTGACAGTCCTAAATTATTAGGCAGTGTTATTTGATGAACCTCTGCAGATAATCCTGATGTCACAAGTATGTCCACTTAAATGCATGCCACTTACATTCCATTCGTATCCTCCAATGGCGATTCCTCCAGCTGCTGCTGTTCCTGCTATTCCCACAAAATGTCCACTACCAATGTTACTGGCAAACAGAGAAGCACCAATCTGGAAACAGAAAGAACAATACTTGGCTTTTAGGTTGTGTTTATGGTAACTTGAAAAAATCATGTTCTTTTGGCATTTTCAACTCATGCCTATCTATCATCAGATGGTGACGTGATAACCAGCTTCCTTGACAACTTTCAAGACTCTTGTTTTTTCCCCTTAAACCAGAGACTCCAGCCATCATATTTATGACAGTGAGAAATAATTTGATGCTGCATAGAAGATATTCCAGTTGAGTCAAACAGTTCATTATACCAATATAGATTTTAACATGTTTGCAAAACTTGGTTAACTGACATTTGGAAGATACCCAAACAATTAGGGAAGAAGACTGTGGTCTATCTTGCTCAAGGAGGAAACAATAAGTGCACATCCACTCATCAAACTGGCAGTCCCTATTTCATATCCCACAGTCTGTGGAATTAAATGTATCATCCAAGAGAGGTGTACTGACTTTGTACTTGGTTCACTTTTAGTCAAAAGATATTCAATTACCGAATTAAATTCTGAAAGAAATATCTGTTGAGAAAGCGCTTCTGGAAGATACAAACAATAGCAAATCAATGAGTTATATTTAATATAGAAGTGTTAGATCTGTATGACCCTCAAATATTGCACTGATCATACAAACAGAACACTGGGAGAACTGATGAACAGCGAGAGATGAAAAAAATGAGAAGTTTATGTTGTATTAGTATTGCACTGATCATACAAACAGAACACTGGGGAGAACATAGGAAATGATGAACAGTGAGAGATTAAAAAAATGAGAAGTTTATGTTGTATTACAGATTGGCAGGAGCCATTTACAAAAGAGAGACTGTGCCAAAAGATCTAATTCTTCATCAAATAGCTCAGACAACAGAAAAGATGAAGATAAAAGCTATGAGCTTCATTTCCTCAAAATGAAACGATTAAAGGCAGCAGAAATGCCTAACGATAATTTACAGGGTCAGACATTGAAGGATGCAGGGTGAGAACTCAAGCATGAAAAGGAGGTTGGATTGGGTATTGTAGGCAGAAGACGTGAGCTGGAGTAGTTCTGAGATGAAGAGAGGCAAGTGAACATTTTTTTATTCACTTCTACTTGTTCTTTGTGTCCTCTGAAAGCTACAAAGGTAAAAAAGGAAAAAGGTTTAATAATAAAAGAAAAACCTATGGAAAGTAGGCAAAAGAAGCCCTGCTGATCAGCTTCCGATGCTCTCATTTGAGGTAGAGCTCTCATGTTGAAAGATCCCAAGGGGCTTAAAAATGGTTTTTTACACATATGGATGCAGGACTTGTATCAGGCACATGGCAGTCACCTTACAAAAGGGAGAAATACTGTCTGCAACCCATAGGAAGATTTTTAGGGTCCTAAAATGTATATACAGGGAATAGCTACAAATTTCCAGGTCTGCAGTCACTGCAGTGAGTTCTTCGAGTAGCAGTAAAAATTTAGTCAATCTTGCTGAGAGCACAAGGACAACTGCCTGAGATTCGGGAGGATAAAAGGGATTTCATAATAGAAACCCACCTCTGAAGATCAGGTTTAGTCTATAAAGCCATGCCACAGCCAGGTATAGCAGCCATGCTCTTCATTGCACAATCCTGATCTTCAATCATAAAATAGAATTTACTCTCCCATTTTTTGTATGCCACATACAAATAACATTTATCAGAAGGTTCCACTCTTACTTTTCCAAGCTTACTTTTTCCTCGAACTGACGAGTTCGACCTCATGATTCTAGTCTTTTTGCAGACAAACTGTCCTTTTGCTGTGACAGGAAATTTATGTCTCTAAGTTCACTCAGCGAACATTTTTAACACATTTCTAGAAGTCAGTTGTGCCCTACAGAAATGTAACCAGTTTGTCATATGACAGATATTTCTACAGGAATTATAAATATTGCAACAAGCATTAGGAAATAAGCTAGAGAGATCACTGGTAATAAAGAAAACTTTTTCTTCTAACCTCTTTGTGACAGCAACAGTGTTTTCCCAGCAATAATCGTGAAGAAAAAATACCGTCTATACCAGGCATTAGCACTGTTGTCCAGTGTTTTCCCTGGAGATGAATAATTAAACTTACATCTAGGTTACTAGAAATGCAATCACCAGAAAAGATTAACCACATTAAACTCTGGTTTTATTTAATGTGTTCCTTCTCCTGTTTCAAAAGCTTAAAATGTACTGCAAGCAGACCCAAGTAACAAAAGCAGCTAATGAAGAACTTTAAGATTTGGCAGCTGCAGTAAGCTCTGGCTCAGTGCCTGAAACCCCGGGACATGCTGTAGCATTCATTGAGAATGCTGTGTTCCTAACTTTACTCAGAGTACCATTGTATCGAAAGAAAAATACAAAAGCAAACCAAAACAATGCAAAGTTACCAACATATTTAGGGCCATCGCAAGGACAAAACAATGCAAATGCAGATACCACCTTCGCTTTCTGAATTTTCCTCTCTGCATCAGGGAACACCAGCACAGCAGAACTGTAAGATCAACACATACTAATAATGGATGCAATTTAAAAAACATTTACTGTTGTTACATATACATGGAAAGGTAGAACATGGCTTCACAGCTGGGAAAATGTGTATTACCCTTAAAACTGCAGCGTGGTTAAAGCAAGAGGAGTGTTTACCAAATATACTTGGACCCTGTTAGCTGCTAATGCCAGAGGGGAAAGAGAAACTTCCAATCTGCCATGGCAGTGCTTTGAGGCTGAGGGAAGAAGGCAGATGGGCTCTGGGCCTGAGCTGTCTCACTGAAGAACTTCCTGCTGTGGTATTTCTGTACTGAAAAGTCCAATTACTAGAACTGCCCAATTTGCCCATGGTAGATGCTGCAGGACACCTATGCATGATGCTGGGCTGAAACTGGGCAATGACAGAGGGAAACAATTTTCTAGAAGTGTTAACTGTTCTCAGCAAATTTGTTAGTGAATTGATTTTAAAAACAGATCTGGGAGGAAATGTAAAGAAAGTTGACTGAAAG